TCACATGATGGACAAGCCTTGCAAAATATTACACCAATACCAATAAATCTGAAAATGTCCTAATAGGTGGGTACACCCAGATTGGCCCTGATGTCCTCATGTAACACGTGAAATTAATTCAATTAATTAGCTGGTTGTTTAAAGGCAATTCCAGATAAGAGAATGTCTGTAGGCCTTGCATTGAAAAAAAAAATCTTGTTAAACCATTTCTTTTCTTATATTTCCACCTCTTTTCCTGACTCCTGTGAAACAGACACTATTTCAGACTTTTCGAGTACTCAGCACTTACCTGACAGGAGAACACGCGGCCAAACCAGGCCATTCTGGCTCAGCAAGCCAATTAGTTCATTACGAGAGTCCGTCTGTTTCCATTACTGATCACGGAATGGAACGAGTATGTTTGATTTTCTTATAAACATCATCATAATACCAGACAAGGAGCCCAAACCGTTTGCTTCGAGGTAGATGCTGTGGCATTCTTTTCTGCTCAGTAAATGGAAAGCAGCAAAGCTGCAGACACTCATCTGGACTCCTCATTCTGCTCCAGTGTAGGGGAGAATTATAGCATTTCCATTGAAAATGAACAATGTATCTCCTTTCTGCTTTGTCTTTTAGTTAAACAATATATGAATTAGTGCTGGAATACACAATAAGTAGATGTATTTCCTATAGAAGAAAAGTAAAATCACTTTTTGAAGTAGCCATCCTGTAAAGCAAATGACCAAAACGAGGTCAGAGTAAGGAAGCACAGGCTTTGTACAGTTGAAAGTCCATAAAAAGCAACAGAAAGACCCTTCTTAGCTTCAGCAGACTTTGGATCCAACTAAAGTTAGAGGCAAGGCCTCCTTCATCTCAGTGCTTTAGCCTTTACCAGATTCACTTCAAATAACAGCAAAAACTGTTTGCTTTACTCATTGTGTTTGTGATCAGATTCTCACAGATGAAAGTTCCTCGGCTCTGCTTCCCAAGCCATCACTGAGCAGCTGCTGGAGGATCATGAGTCACCTCTGTGTGGACTATTGCCCTTTCTAAGGCAGAACCAGACTAGTTCAAGATGTTCTTTAATTTCTAACCATTTAGTCACATCACTTACTGCAAGTGGATTGTGTGAGTCTGCTGGTAATGCAATAGCTGGACATTTGCTTTGTCCAAAGTGGAAAAGCCTGTGGTTTTTGAGGATACTATTAGGCGATTTTTTCCTTTTGCCATATAAATATGGTTAAGTCACGATCATGGTGCTTGCACAAATACAAAGCCAAAAGCAACTACAAAACAGGTCAGCTTCTCAGGTCATAGCACTCGATAACAAATTCTCATTCACCTCACTGAAATCAGGATTATGTCCCTTATGACATCTGTCACCCTTCAGGCCTACAACGACCATATTTGTTTTTCCCTGTACACATTTGAGCTTTTTTTTTGTGCCACACTTACAGGTCCTTTGAGACTAAATAGTGATTTTCCTTTCAGCTTTCCCTATTGGTCTGCTTATATACAGCTGCTAGTCTGCTTAGGAAGTGGGAAACCAGCATATGGTGAAGACTGTGCTGCCTTTTTTTTCCTTTTCTTCACTTTTTAGGATGGCCCAGGGAAATACTAGTCACAGCAAAATCTTTAAAAATGTGAGTGATCTGTAAACAGCATAAATGCAAAGTTATTCAGGATTTCAAATATTAAACTTTAATGTTCTGTACAATGAATCAGAGATTGACACAGATTCCAACAAACCATTGCAATAATTGCCATAGAATTGAAGTGCTCCATAGCCACTGTATTTAGGGCTTTGGGAAGAGGAGTAAGATTTTGCATTGACATAAGCAAATACTGTTGAGTTCTCATATTTTTTTTAAATCTTAGTATATATGTTTAGGAACCAATAAGAAAAGCTGGCTAAGGCAAGAATGTGGCTGTTTTACTGCAAGTCTAGAAGTAGGCAAGTCAGCTTTTTTTATAACCTTATTATTTCTATATGTTACTTGCCAGTGCTTTAGCACAAATCAGCTTTCCAAAGGATTTTGGAGCTAATGGTTAATCTTTACGAGCAGTGCAAAATGCATTATGTCATAACATGCTGACACACAGATCTACATCTGAGCACAGAGGGGGTGTCTTGAACAGACTAAGTCTTTCCAGATGTAAGTTTCCTTTGGAAACGTATTTAATACTTTCATTCTGCCAAAGGCTGCAACGTTTTTCATTGCAGCTCTCCTAGCTTATTTCTTAATTCATTTAACAATGTCCAGAAAGTTAGAAGCGAATATGAATGTCATTATATCCAGATGTCTTCAATTTTTCCTCTCTTCTTTCTGTTAAATGATGCCATCTACTGTAGAATAACTGAATGACAACCTTGTAAAAATGCAGAGAAATCTGCTTTGTTTCCTTATTACTATAAAATTTTGTCAGTCATTTTGTGACACATTTTAAATTTCTATGATTTCATCAATATCGTTGACTAAAATATAGAAAGATGAGTATTCTTAGTGTGAAAAATTTGTCACTGAGAAAAGCCTCTGCTTTTTTGTCTTGTCTTTTTGAGGTCTTCTTGTGTACAGGGAACCACTCATACACTGAGCTACTCAGCTTTTGCCACACTGCAATTCAGGTGTTTTCACGAGTCGTTAGAGAGACTCTAAAAAAATATTTCATTCATAATGCTACACTTCTCATTTTCAAAATACATTTCAGCCGCCTTGGTTGTCAGGAAACATTTGTCATTACTCTTGTCAAGGCTGAGCAGTTTGGTTTTTACTTAAGTGCCAGCAGTGAAATCCTGGTTTGTTAAAGGAGGAAAATGTTTCTTGCAGAATCAGTCAGCAATTAATTAAGCAGAGAATCGGCTTATTTACCTGGGATCCACTAATGTGATTCTGCAGTGTGAGAGCTGGGAAACCAAGCAACTTTTTTAGAAAATAAATCTAGCTTGGCAGACTAAGGAAGGATGTCTAGATCTTCAGAGGAAGTGGCTGTTAGGTGGTGTCCCTTGAAGAAGCATCTGATACTGTGACCCTCTGTCGTGGTGGGTGTGAGGAAGACGCTGTCCTGGAAATAAGCACTTCCTCTCCACCTCTCTTGTGCAGCATCTGAAGTTTCCGGTGAGCCACAAAATATGGAGAAGTGAAGGGAAAAGGAAAAATTAAATTTCTAAGTGACAGAAAATGTCTGAGTGGGATTAGATTTCATATGCTGCTGGAATGTTTTAGATTTCACTATTTGTGTTGTCAAGGGAAGGCAAAATACTGGCTCAGAGCCCGCTATCAGGCACAGAAAAATGTATTGTCTTGAAAATGTCTGAAAATGATTTTTGAAGCATTTTTGCATGTTCTTGTTGTTCTGATGAAGCTGGTGGTCAAAGTAGTGTCAGCCTTGACAAGTCAACATTTTTTTGCTTCTTTTGTAACTGAAGTGCAGAAACCACACACATAGGTGTCCACAGAAAGCCTGCAGTGGGGCTGAAACTGGGAAAAGAAAGAAACCTTCTGTCCCATGCGGTGCCCCATTCCGAGATCCCCACACTGGTTCTCCAGTCAGTGAGCCAGGAGGTCTGGGCTGTATTCCCCATTGTCCTGACAGAGTTGGTACAACTAGGTGATGAATTTCGTGGGTGACAGAGAGGAAAAAGTGGGATTAATGTGGACAAGGAAAAGCAGCTGAAGGAGAACTGGAAAGGGAGCAGAGACTGAAAAACTAAGCTCAGTTGATTATATGACAGTAAAGAAGGTGAACTGTTCAGGTGCAAAAGAGGATTCAGGGAAGATGAGAAGGAAGTTATGTGTTATGTGAAAGATGAAAATGAATAGAGGAAAAAGGGACTGAAGCAGAAGCAGCATAAGAAGAGAGGAAACATGTCCAAGTGTGTACCATCCCAAAGAGCATGAGGGTGGGTATGGAAACAGATACCCACAAATACAGAGAGAAAGGAAAAGTGTGTAAAGAGAAAAAAGAGACCAGTGTGCTAACGCAGTAGTGGGAAAGAGAAAAAATGGATATGATAGATGCCATGTGAGAAAAAAAAAAGGGACTCCATAACCCATAGGAATGGATTGCACTATACATTTGGACTCGGTCTCATACTACGCAATTATGACCATTACAACAATTTTATGGCATTCAGAATTTTCTGTCTGGAGCCATTGGTAATTTTCATGTCAGAGCTTTGAATTACACCTTTTGGCAATTTTTTTTTTTCTTTTTGAATGGTGATGTGTAGTAGGTAACTGATATTAAAGTTTTAAGTATGATGTAGGTATACAAATAGCTCTTTCTCCAGAATTTTGTGTTTGTAAACTTGATTATTTTGAATTATTCATGGAAAAAATCTCATTCCATTATTCAAGACATTCACTGATTATAATATTTGCAGTCTGAGGCTTCTAATAACTTCTACAAAACTTACAAGAAGCTTGTCTAACTTGGTAGTGTTATTTTCATATTGGTTTCTTGAATGACCGGACTTTCTGGTTCTTGTTTCTCTAAGAAAATACAGACCCAAAATTTAATCTTTGAAGCTGGTTTTCATTAGTCTCTTCAAATTCATTACCTACAACAAATTTGATCAGTAAAATAGCTGTTGGAAGGAATTCAAAAGCCGTGAATATTACAGATGAACAATGTTTTTTCTGAAAATACAGGCACTTGTAACATTTGAGCAGGCCAGATGACACATTAATTGCAACCCATTTGGGCAATTAATGTGAACATTCTTTTAGACTTATCACATGCATTGCCTTTCAAAAACACTTTGAAAAGACTTGGTGCTAGCTGTTAATACAAGATACTGGCAATAAGACTTCATGCTGGACAGATGTCTTATTCCACATCTATGTGGAAGTGCCCATGCTGGCACATGGGGGCCAATGATACACTTGTTTGAGAGATTTGGCACATTTGCTTTTTAGCTGCAGCAGAGAATTCAATTGCTAATTACACAGTAACTCAGTCTGAGACTAAAATTACTTGAGACAGAAGATTATCACAGATTTAATTGGGCTTTGGATCAGCTCCAGGAGGTTTCTGTTGATGTCTATTTATAGATTCAGAGCAGACTCTGCAATTAGTGTAACAGATCCTCCCAGTGTCTGAAGAGAAGTATTTAGCCTTTTACTTCACATGCACAAACTATATTATAGTAGAAAAAAACCCAGACCATCCTACAACTTTCATGTTCTTCATCTTTAATTTGGAAAACACATTTGAAATAATATTGAACACTGTTTTGTCTTTCTTTCCAGTCACAGGATGTACCCATCTTGGGCAGGTTTATGCTGACAGGGATGTTTGGAAACCAGAGCCATGCCAAATCTGTGTGTGCGACTCGGGATCTGTTCTCTGCGATGACATAATCTGTGATGATCAGGAGCTGGACTGTCCCAACCCAGAGATTCCCTTTGGAGAGTGCTGTCCAGTTTGCCCACAAACAACACCACAACCTACAAGGGTAAGTTTGTCCTCAGTGTTGCTACTTTGGTGTTGCCACCTTCTTGATCCATGTCAACCTCAATTCATTTTCTTTCAGATGCTCTTAAACATTTTTCTTTTAAATGTCAAACTTGCCACATTCTGACTCTAGGGAGATACGTAAAATGGGCAAATTTTACCAAATTAAATTAAAAAAAACAGCTTGAGCTTTCACAGAGTTTTATCTTTTTTTGTTAAATTGAAGAATACTACTGTATTCTACCATAGAATTGGTATCAGATCTGATAAAATACTTGTTAGTCTTTTGAGCTGTGCAGCTGAAAGCATGAAGTCCTTCAAGTCAGTTTTATGTAGACAACAGGCACAGATAAATAGTAGAAAGGGACAGAGGGCAGCAATTAGCCATTACATTTTTCCATTTTATGGAGAACTGTAGTGATGAGTGGCATTGTCCAAGGATCAGTATTAGGACCGGTGGTGCTTAACATCTTTATTGGAGACATGGACAGTGGGATCGAGTGCACCCTCAGCAAGTTTGCCAATGACACCAAGCTGTGTGGTGCAGTCGACACACTGGAGGGAAGGAATGCCATCCATAGAGACCTGGACAGGCTTGAGAGGTGGGCCCATGTCAACATCATGAAGTTCAACAAGGCAAAGTCCTGCACATGGATCAGGGCAATCCCAAACACAAATACAGGCTGGGCAATGAATGGATTAAGAGCAGCCCTGAGGAGAAGGACTTGGGGGTGTTGGTTGATGAGAAGCTAAACGTGAGCCGGCAGTGCTCACTTGCAGCCCAGAAAGCCAACCATGTCCTGGGCTGCATCAAAAGAAGTGTGACCAGCAGGTCGAGGGAGGTCAATCTCCCCCTCTACTATGCTTTCGTGAGACCCCACCTGAAGTACTGCGTCCAGCTCTGGCGCCTCCAACATAAGAAGGACATGGACCTGTTAGAGCGAGTCCAGAGGAGGTCTATTGAAGATGGTCAGAGGGCTGGAGCACCTCCTGGATGAGGACAGGCTGAAAGAGTTGGGGTTGTTCAGCTTGGAGAAGAGAAGGCTCTGAGGAGACTTTATAGCGGCCTTCCAGTACCTGAAGGGGGCTACAGGAAAGCTGGAGAGGGACTTTTTACAAGGACATGTAGTGATAGCACAAGGAATAATGGCTTTAAACTCAAAGAGAGTAGATTTAGGTTAGATATAAGGAAGAAATTCTTTACTGTGAGGGTGGTGAGGCACTGGAACAGGTTGCCCAGGGAAGTTGTGGATGCCCCATCCCTGGAGGTGTTCAAGGCCAGGCTGGATGAGGCTTTGAGCAACCTGGGCTAGTGGAGGGTGTCCCTGCCCATGGCAGGGGGGTTGGAACTGGATGATCTTTAAGGTCCCTTCCAACCCAAACCATTCCATCGTTCTATGAGTAATGCCAACAGCTTATTGGTTGACTGCATGCTCAATCTATGAAACTAATGCCAACAGAGGGTTAAAGAAAGACAATTTTCCAAACATACTGCACATCTGCATTTCTTATCAACCCAATTCGACATCATCACAGAGTAAATTTCATTTTGCAGAGTTATTGCTGACTTAATGCCCTGTAAAGGATAGGTGATTCAAGCCCTACATTGCTAATTTATCATCACCTTGTTTATAAACACCAACATTATCTAAACCAGTTGCAGCATCTTAACCTCAGGAAAATCAAAGATGTTAGTGAATGCCAAGTCCCCTGCCTAAATGCTTCAGGGAGTGAGCTGGCTATACTGAGCTCTAAGGTTATCTGAACATTTCATCCTTTTTTTTAAGATCCATGAAATTCTGTTAAAGTAGATGGATTTCCACAGGCACATTGAAGATCCTTGCCCAGAAGATGAGTGAAAGAGATGTGTATATGGAAGAGAAAGGGAGAAGATGTATTTCTGCAGCTCTATAGTTTATCTGCTTAAACATGAAATGTCGTATACAAATATGTCACCTAGTGTTGGTTGCACCATGCTAGTACAACTGTATTACTTCCAGGATTACCTGAGCTACTTCACTGAACAGTTTTAGAGGCTTAAACAAGTGGTACATACAAGCATGCTGGAGATTTAAGCACAGCTCCCTCTCTTGTTGAGTCTAGAGACTCTTTCATCAGTTCTGTGGTTCCTGATAATAAAGGATATGTGGGCTACTTCCTCCAGCCTCTGTCTTTGATATATAAGAGTTTGGTCAGGCCACTGGAAGCTCTCCTGCTGCCCTTGGATGGTGTATAGGGAAATGCCACCTTGAAAGACCAAAGATAGTTTCAACTGAATATTCTTTGCTACCACCAGCAGCTGAATACATGAAAACTGTTCTGAACTATTTAGAATCCAGATAGTAGCACATAACTCAATTATTAATTGAAAAATAAATTGGAGGAGTAGATCTGAGAAATTAAAATTAGCTACATTATCACACTTAGCATGCTGGACGGGAAAGATACAAAAAACCTGTCCCTTACAACTTTCCCCAATGGACTTCTGTCCCCATTGTGGACATTCTGTCCCCCAAAGCTCTACTGACTTTGTTAGTGCCATTTTTTTGCCTACAGGAGAGGTGTAGCTTTATGGATGAACTGTGAAAATGCAGATAGACTGAACAAAAACCCCACAGCTTTTAAATATACAGAATAAGAATAAATGGAATTAATTTGATAAAATTATATTCCAATGTTTAAATGTGTTTTACTCTTGTTTATATATATATATACACACATACACACACTCAGTTTTCGGTTTTATTTTTATTTTCTTTCTTAATTACTTTTTTTTTCTAGACTCCTGGACCGGTCCACCGTGGCCCCAAAGGAGATCCTGTAAGTGCAGCTTTTTTTTTTCCCTCCCCCAAGGAAACTAACAAAAGCAAGAGCCAACTCCTATAGCTCTGCGTATCCCATTCAAGCTACTGAGATATCCAGCTTTCATTGATGTCTGCACTGTCTGCAGGACTGTGCCATATAGTTATTTTGAAGTAGCCCTTTAGCTTCAATAAGACCCTCAAAAATTTGAACTGGAAAAACACAGAGAGAGAGAGAGAGTTTAGTTCAAACCGTTTTACATTTGTTATTTTTTGTTACGTTTCTTCCCAGTAGGGGAAAAAAAAAAAAATCTGTGCACTCCACTAGCAGTACTAATTTTAGATTCAGGAATTGACTTTTTTAATATTTCTAGTATGTTTGATCAAATATCAGCCGCAATAAGGCTCCAGCAACTAAGAATTGTTTCAATGTGTAAATTTTGTCTACTGTCTATGTCTTTCCCGAATGTTCAGTTCTGACCTTAGTTATGTTTAACATAGAAGGTTTGGCACCACAATTGCACAGACTTTGTTACAAACGGAAGGAATTGTCCTGCAATGCTCTCACAGTTGGAGGCAAGTGCCAATGTCTGTACCTGCTCTGTTTGTGTCTTCACAGGGTTCTCCTGGGATTCCAGGCAGGAATGGTGCCCCTGGCCCTCCAGGACAGCCAGGGAGTCCTGGAGCCCCTGGTCCCCCTGGGATCTGCCAGTCGTGTCCCAGTATAAGCGGAGGTGTAAGTCATCATTATGTTCAGCTTCTGCCTTGTTGCTCATAAGCATACAAAGCAAAACTTTAGGTACCTATCCCTTGCACCTTCACACGTACTCTTCTTTCAATGGCATCTGTCTCTCATCTGTGCCTTTGAAAATCCCAGCAGAGTTGTAGGTGGGGGTTTGTTGTTGTTTTAGGGTTTTGTCCACAAAATTTGGCTGGAGTCCACTTAAATCTCTGTTTTATCTTAATTTTTAAAACTTTTGGGGACAGATCTGATTAAGGATTTATGTAACTCAGAAATAATCTGATCAGGCAGAAAGTGTGCAGGAGGAAGTACATCCCCCCAGGCTTAATGATTAGGGAACTCTCTTACTTTCCTATATTTTATGCAATCTGTGTTTAATAAAGAAACATTCCCAGGAGACTAGACTGAAACTCAGGTCCTCTGCTTGCAGGAAAGTGCCATGTAAGTGCTATTTGTCATGCTCCCTCTTCTGACCCACTGAATCTTGAATTCTCTTCTCAAGGGTAGGGCAGACTCAGGGAGAGAACTGATTTTTACTAAAGTTTCTGTGCAGTTGGATTTATTAAGGCAGCTGAGCCACAGCTAGCACTTCATTAGTCACAGGTAAAAGAAATGAGGAGACTAATAATAAACTGTTAAACTGTTGCATTCTTTAATGCAACAGAAAATATTACATCGACTTCCTTGAGTGACAACTAAGTCCAACAGAAAAGAGGCTGATAAAGAAAACGGGGGAAAGCTTAAAAGGAGTCAAAGAAGAATTAGGAGAGGGGTAATTTTTTTCAGCTCAACTGAGGCCCAGCTGTCAAGATGAAAACTGGATGTACACAGCATAGAGAGCTAACATTACCATGACCACAAAAGAAAGATATTGGCTGGGCTTCTCTTATGGATGGTTTTAAAATATGGCAGCTATATGTCAAACAAGTTGTACTCAATAGATACAAGTGAGTGATTTCCATACATTTGCCATACCAATGTAAGAAAAGACTTATTTGATTTGTAGAAATCATCTTTTTTTCTTTTTTTTTGTTTTTTTCTTTTTCTTTTTTTTCTCTTTCTGTTTTTCTCTATTTCTTTTACAGAGTTTTTCTCCACAGTATGATTCCTATGATGTGAAGGCCGGTGGAGCTGGTATTGGTTACCCACAGCCCATTGTAAGATGATAAAGCCTTTTTTCTGTCCTTTTTTTTTTTTTAAAGAACAAATTTTCTGTTCGTAGATTGTACCTTGGATGTGTATGTATCCTGATTTTTAATTTAACAACATAAGTTTCTGTTTAATTGTTGCCTGCAAGTGGAATGCAATGTAAGGGAGCAGTTTGCTTGGCAATATCATTCTAGAATGTAACTATAGATTATCTGGGTTTTTTTGCCTTTTGTCTCTCTTTCTTCCTTTTCTTACCTTCTTTTTCCTAATCTCTCTGATTTGCTTTCTTACACTACCTAAACATTTATCCATTTCTCTTGTGCATACTCTCCTCATTTATCTGCTTTGGTATGCTTCTACTAATTGCTTCCCTCCCTTCCACCACTTTTTACTGCTTCCACAGTCCCTAATCTTCTTTATCCGTTCACCAGCAGTCTGTTCTAAATCAATATGATACTCCACACTTGTTCATATTTTCACATCTCAAATTTGCCTGATAACAAGCGAGTAAGCCCCTCTTATAATCTTTTTTTCATCCCAGAAGCAGTCAAAAGCTTTTCACTTTTTGTTGTTACAATTACAATTTTTTTACCTACAGCTATTCCGACTGTGCAGTAAGGATGCTGTATCTTCCTGCTAGGCCTGGCCCAAGCTTTTCACAGTTTTTTTAGTGGGATAAAGCATGGATTTCCTGAAAGAGTTAAGCATGAGCTATGCTTCCCATATAAAATAAACCTAAATGTTGCACCTGATGATTTTCCTTTTAGGCACTAAGATTTAGAGATATTCACCACTGATGACATGGAGTGTTCTTGATTCAGGGAATCTGCTGTACAGAAGATGTGGTGAATTGCTATTATTTAAAAGTGGCTGCTGCTTTATTAGGTATAATCATCATTTTCAGTCCAGTGCTGCATAACAAGGTTTGAGTATCTCATCTTGTAACATGTCAAGGCAATTCCCAGGAAATGTGTTATTTCTCAGGGTTCCTTTAGATCATCTTCTGAAATACATTTTACTCACCATGACAGCTGTTTATCCTGAAATATAATTAATTATTTTCTCACCTTTATTTTAATCTGTTCATTTCTACCTTGTTCATTTGCTAATATGATCATCCATGCATTGGTCATCTTCAACCATCACATTTTTGTATTTATTCATGTGTTCATTTTCAGCTCCTCACAGATTTGCGCACAGCTTATAATATCATCCACATTTTGCTACTTGGTGTCATAATACGGGATGTGCTAAACCAGGCAGATAACTGAAATACCTTTCAGTTAACAAACATGGTTACTCCTCTCTATTTTTGCATTTTTCCCTGAGGGGCTTAGTGATTTCTTATACTCTGATCCCTGGACTTGGGTTAAAAAAATAATAATTTCATTGGGTGCCCTAGTATGTCTTTAGCCAGAATTGTCTGTATACTTTCAGGTCTTATGTTCTTTTATGTTGCATCATGCAGTGCATGACTGCAAAGCCAATAACAGAGCAGTTAGAGACAGATGTGACTAAACTTGCTAGAACTAAAAAATGTTTATTACTATCATTATGTGGATAAAATTATTTATTAACATATAAATTTAACTTAAAAATTTAATTTCTCAATTTTCAACTTAACCAAGGTTAACCTGCCACAACTTTCAGTTTAAATAATTATCCAAACTGAAATAATTTGGAGGAGTAATAAAATAAAAAATGCCAGCTGTAGCACCAGCATTTTTCTGTGGGTGGTTACCATGCCTGGTATTTTCTCAGTTACACATCTCTCCACTGCTGTCTTTCCAGTGGCTTTTCACTGCTTGTAGACTGATCTTATCTTTTGCATCTCACTTTCTCTTTACTTGCTCATACAACCTCCACATATTGTCTTTGTCTCTTTCCACCGGTGCATATATTCTAACTAAAATATGCTCATTTGTTCACAGTCTGGAGATGCTGGCAGCCAGCAAGTGCCATACCTAATGATCAGTTTCTTTCCTCAGTGTGTACCTTGAAAAAAAATAACATCTTGTTTGTTTATAGCCATAAGTCTAATTAATTGATTGCAGTTGATGAGTTGATGGTTCCAATTCATCCTAAATCCAAACTTATATTGTACCAAATGAGTTCTAATAATTAACAGTGAGGGACTGCTCATTGTGTTCCACATTGAAGGCAACCCGATTTACCCAGACACTAACTGCTCTGCCACTTGGTGTACTCCTTGTCTTAGAAAACAGCAAATATTACAGTGATTCTCTTTTTCAGACAAAATACAATCTGTGAACTAATATTAACATAGTGTATGTGTAGTATAATAGTATACTATACTATGCATACCAGTATAGTATAGCTATACTATTAATCTTGTATTATCATAATTGTGTTCCCGTAACATCTATAACACATGGCCTATTCTGATACCCTATGATGATATCCCATAAAACACATTATGTGCAATATTAAGCTATGGAATATACTGCCAGTACTGCAGCACACAGTGATTCTCATGTAATTCATATGCCTTAATGGTTTTGGCTGTATCAAACCCATGGAGAGTTAAATTTAACAAAAGCTTTTTTTAAAGAACCACACATAGCTGCAGTAAATCACTGTGCTCATTTTCAAAGGTTTTCTGTTTTGCAGAATCAAATGCTTTTGTGGTTGTTGCTACAGGAAGTAGAAATATTAGCACTCTTCCCAAATTGAGAGTTTCCTTAATAGTTATTTTGCTCCCTTTTCATCAGTTAAAATAAGGAACAGTGTTACTGGTTTGAGTTAAAACATACATCTATGGAGATTCATCCTCTGAGTCCTCTGGTTAGTCTAGACATCATTTATTTTTTTTATGGCTTAGTACTGTTAAAGTCCAGAAAAGGTTTCATTGGGGAAAATGCTTGCCTTACTGACAAGTAACAAAAATATGGCCTTAATTCAATATACCTGTAAGCCCTAAATCATCTAGGGTCATAAGCAGAGTTTATCATACAAAGTTCTTCTAATTGGTTGTATATGTGTATATACAGCTGTTTTTCATGAAATATAGTTCATTATTGTCTCGCTTTTATTTTCATCTGTTTGTTTCTACCTTGTTAATTTGCTATATGTAGTATAGCTCCTGAACGCAAGTGAGAAATTTTAAAATTAGTTTTAGAAAGCAAAATCTGGCATCAATAGGCTAGCAAGCAAGTTTATTAGTACACTTCAGCTCCACCACTGAAGGTGTAGGGTTAGGCTAATAAATCTCAGTTACATGGCAGAGAAGCTGAAGCCCCTTCATTTACTCTGTTTAACAAATGAAGAGTTCCAGTTATCTATTCTTCCGGTTTAGTTAGCTGAAAAGCTGAGCTGTAAGCACCCTCCTGGGGGTCAAGAGAAGGAGAAAAGTGACTCAAAAAGAAAAAAATACAGCTTTGAAAATATCTTGTGGAGTATGTTAGCTAAGGCTGCAAAGAGAAACCCAGTGATCTCTTTTCTGAAGGGACTGTAGGTACCAGACAATGTGTTTAGCAATGTGTATATATACTGCTGCTTCTTTTTTATTGCACCAAGTGCATGTCACTGTAGATTTTTTTCTCTGTACTAATATGTAAAATTTTATTTCACAGTTATTGGTGACTGTTGCAACTACATTAAGCTTTATAGCTATATTACAGTAACATAATGACTATTTTTTTAATCTACACTATAGACCGGCTTTCCAGGACCCCCTGGCCCCAGTGGCCCCCCTGGCCCACCTGGTCATGCAGGTCCCCCTGTAAGTAAAATTAATCTTTTCATAATCATTTCACATTCTTTTATATGATCTAGATACTATGCTGAGGGATTCTGTGGATAAATGACATCTTCTGTTAATTGGGCTGTACCCTCTATGCACCATCAAGACTCAATGGCTGAGGGCTAAATACTGTACTTGCTTAAGTCTGTGTATCCCAGGGTGTTTTCTGAAATTCCTTGGGGTGGTGGCTAACGTTGTCCTAAGACATGCCACTGCCTATCATCCTCTGTTAACATTCCCAAATGTTTGTTCATACAAAAATTTAACAGGAGAAAGGAAAGTGGAAATCCTAATACATATTCAGTGAACACACAAAGGGTATGAGTTTTTTGATGTACATCTCCTTTTAGAGGAGTAGTTTTAATTCTTTTGTCGTGGAGGCACTCTCTGCTTGGTTCTGCTAATTTCACCTTTGGTCATGTAGTGACAGTTCTGGCTAACGTTTTCCTTACAATTATGAGATTATTATAAAATAGAGTAGGACCATGGAATGATGCATGGAATTGTTCACATCCTAACTGTTTTTCTGCTGCATTACAGGGCTCTGCTGGATACCAAGGCTCCCCTGGAGAACCAGGGCAACCTGGCCCTCCTGTATGTATACATTACATATTACTATATTTGTTAAAGGCATGATCTTACAAGCATGAATCTGTGTCATGGCTGGAGTGGATTGAAATTTTACAGTTCTCCTGTCTTTTTACTATCACATATGTCAAATGTACAAGTATTTTATGACACGTAATGCATTTTTAATTTTAAAGACTTAATATTTATTATTATAGTTACATATTAATTATTTTTCTACAGGGACCTCCAGGACCTGTTGGAATGATAGGCCCAGTTGGTCCACCAGGAAAAGATGTAAGTTCACTATTATTCATCCAGTGATTAATAAATTGGAAGAAAGAAAATTCATTAAATGGTAAAATAGCAGAGCACGTTGATACCATTGCATTTAAGAATTTGTAACATCCCCCTGTTTCTCAACTTGACACGACTGTAAGAACTACATTAGGTTTCCATTAGTTATAGATGTCCATTCCAAAAAAAGTTTCAATTTTAGCAGGCAATTTGATTCACACAATGAAAAAAAAAAAAAAAAAAAAAAAGCCTAAGCATGAAATACCCTCTTTTGATCTGGTGCAAAATAAATTAGCAGTTATAAAGAAAAGCAAATAATAGTGATAGTTGCAAATCTTGCTTTGGGAGTTAACTCAATTAAAACCACCTTTTGTGTCACAGCTGGAAATCCTGAATAGGTATAGTACAAGGTGAGACAATCAGCTAATTTTTTTGTCGATTTTGAGTGTTTCACCATGAAAAATAAGTTTGCTCTGATCGTCTCTTCGTAAAAGTTGGCTTGAAATAAATGTGATGTTAACCAAAATCTTGTTAATAATTGAGTTTATAAATTCTGGCAACTGTTTTTCAGAAGGCAGTCATATACTGAATTGTCACCCTGATATTAATTTTCCCCACTGTTTTTGGAAGAACTTTCACCTGCTTATTCCAACTTACCTTGATCTACTAGGACTGGGTCTTTGCCAGTAAGTGACGCAATAGCAGAGCAGTCAAAACCTTTTATTTTCCTTCAACAGGGAGAACCAGGAAGACCAGGCAGAAATGGAGATCGTGGAATCCCTGGATTACCGGTACAGAAAATCCCCCAATAACAATGGTCTTCTAATCAAAGGTTTTGTTTTCCTATTTTAAACTGGCCAAGTGAACATGACACAATGAACATTGGCTTGTGCCCTTCATACTGTAAGTATGTGATTTATTCACCTTTCTATATTTGTGTGTTTAGGGTCACAAGGGACACCCTGGAATGCCTGGAATGCCTGGGATGAAAGGTCAACGAGTAAGTATTGAGTATATTGAGTATAGCTGAGTCTGTTACTCCACTTAAATTACAGTGTTGCACTGTTGTACTCTTTCAGTCATCAATTCCCAGAAAAAGTGACTGAATCATTGAATTAAAGATCAATTTCTGGACAATGTAATCGCACCTTCTGTAACAAAGACACTTAAATTTTATCCAGTTACCTCAGTTGTAGAGCACCACCCCAAATGCTGGGCTAAAGCATGCCTTCCGGAAAAAGCATAATTTCTTAACTAATGGCCATGGAGAGATGGAAAATTCAGAATTTTATTTCAAAAGTGTTCCAATACCAGATAGCACTCATTATTAAAAATATACCCCCCTATATGAGTTTGTCTTGAAGCTTAATATTTTGCCAAGGGGAATCAAGCTTTCCAGAACACAAGAGAAATACTAATTACAGAGATGGTTTTCCTTTCCCACAGGGTTTTGATGGAAAAGATGGCGCCAAAGGTGACAGCGGTGCTCCTGGTCCAAAGGTAAAACACTAGTGTCATCTTTGTAATAGAAAGAATAATACTGTCCATCGATTGTTATACAGCTACATTTTTGCATATTACGCAATTATAAAAATCCTTTAAACATTGAAGAAACTCATTGAATATCTCCATGAAAAGAATGAGAATCGTTCTAAAGGAGTTGGACTTTCTGAACCAGATCATGTCCCGATTTTCCAACCGTAACAAAGATGAGATTATGAAATGAAAGGACATGCCTGGATCATATGACTTTATTGCATAATGTTATAGGACCAAGTCTTCCGGATTTTTTTGTTGCTCTTGTTGTTTAAATATTTTGTTCTGGCACTTGTTTTAGACTTATCAGACCTCACAGACCTCAGTTCATGCTGAGGACACTCAGCACCATGAAGAAAGGGGCAATGGATTGGGCTGTTTTGTTTCTATGTCTCTTCCCGTTGAATAAACAAAAAAATGTTCTCACCAAAGTTCATTCTGTCATTGATGTTTTCTTTCCATAACAGGGTGAAACTGGTCTTCCTGGAGCAAATGGCGCACCAGGCCAGCCAGTAAGTATGTGTATCCTGTAGTATTTAGATGGAAGTGCCCATGACACTTCCCTGTTAACAAATTTAATTATCCCACCACATGCATTGAACAATACTGAGATATGCAAATGAGAGCAATGTCTCTTTGCTAGGCCATATTTGGAAGCCACATGACAGGTTTGTTTTCTTATGTTTTCTAGGGACCAAGAGGTCCAGCTGGTGAAAGAGGAAGACCTGGGAATCCTGGTGGCCCTGTAAGTAACTGCAGTGGTTGTTCTTATCCACAAGCAGCACATATTTAGTTTCAATATGTTGAGAATTCCCTGCTTCACAGATTTACCTTAAAGCAGTTGTAATACAAAGGGTTAGAAAACCATATAACATCTGTAAAATCGTACATGAAAACTCTTCAGTTCCCAGTTAAAGACATAACACTTTTAACTCACAACATGTTCACCATCTTATTCTCTATTTCGTTTTTAAATTAATAGATTACATGTTGAGGGAGAGTTCAGTGTTTCAGCAAAGTCTCAGGTTCAGCCAAGAGGAATAGGGAGGAGTAGAAGCAAAGGGCAGCAGCAGAAGGCAGAAAGAGGAAAAAATGCATTCCTAGAAGTAGCTTGCAGGAAAAAGATAAAATTACTCTTTGAACAAGATTAGGATATATTCTTTGCTCTGAAGGTCACAGTTCATAGCATCCAGCACAATCAACAAAGCACAGCTAAAGTGTAATCAACAGCAACTTGTTCGTACAAACACTACATAACCTGAGTAGCAGACCTGGTCTAACATGCCTAAAAGACAGGCCACAGGATTTAAATCATGCCACTGTCTGTTAGGTTTTTGGACTGAAATTTTATTCTTTTATGTGAATTAGAAGTAACGTTACTGTGAAATACACAGCATCTATTGCAATCTCAATGATTTAACCTTAACAACTGTCCACACAGATGATGCTTTGAAACTGTTTTTTCCTTAAAAAAATCTAATAAGAATACATTTTTGCATCTTGCTGTCTCATCATTAGAGTACGAGTCACATAAAGTGATTGATATCCTTTCAATAATATTTAGTTAATTATTATCTAAGAATTTCACTGTTGAGGAATCCTTGGGTTATGGTAAACTAAGTGGGAATGTAGAGACACAAAAAGATGGTCTGTGAGTCATGGGCATATGGGTTCTGTGCCTGGAGTAGTGCTCTGTAACCAACACCTCTCTTCTTTCTGTAGGGTGCCCATGGCAAAGACGGATCTCCAGGAGCAGCAGGCCCACCTGTAAGAAGACAAAGATCTTTGACTTTTATTTGTATTGTATCTTTTATTTATCTGTATTGATCTTTTATTTGTATTGCTCACAGCTAGTTACTTCTAGCTGACGTTCTGTAGTGCCGGCAAACCCAAGACTGGGGTTGCACTGGCTTAAGGATAAGCATTTTATTGAATTATATTGCATAACTTTGTTGGTTAAGTGAAATACAGTGAAATATGAGAGCTTTACCACTGTAAATCAGAAAATGCATACATCCAAACCTAGATTGTTCTCAGAGAACAGATAGATGTATAGAATGGCTGTTCTCTGTGCAGATCAAATTTTTAATGGTCTTATAAAATACATTATTTAGCTGTCTGAGGTGAGCAAAAATTTTTCCTTCCCATCTGCCTAGAAACCTGAGCATGTCCACTTGTACTTGTAACAGCTATATTGTCTCCTTTTTCTCCTACACCTTTTTTTATAATTAAAACAAATTTTGGACTTTTTTTATAATCATCTAATCTCTTTAATGACAGTTTTCATGTTTTCTAAATTTACAACACAGAAATTTATCTGAACATGTAAAAGTCAGGGTATCTAAGATGTTGGTGTGATATTTTAGGACTAGCCAAACTTCATCTTCTACACCATGATTTATATTGGCTATTTTTCCAGGTGTTTCCTTACTCAGAGAAAAATCTCATAATCATACTTTTTTTTTTTAAGCTTAAGATGAATTCCATATGGCTTTTACCTCTTGTATTAATAACATTTCTTTCACTTTTAAGGGTCCCCCAGGTCCCCCTGGAACTGCAGGATTTCCAGGCTCTCCAGGTTTTAAGGTATTCAGCTAAAGATGCATACTAATATAGGATTTGGTCCTCTCTCTAGTTAGCCAGCTTATGTCACTATACATCTTTATCTTATGAGTCCTCCTTTTTGTATTCTAGTGTTTACAAGCCTAGAACTTAAGTGTTTTCGTATGCAGTATGAGACAAACCACATCCTCATCACCTTCACGAGTACCCAACCCCAAAACACCACGAAGTGGTAGACTCAATGCTTTATGTTGCCTTATGGGAGGGGCTCAGTGAACCTCCTGCAACTGGAAGAGTCGTGCAGCATGTCCTGGCTGGAGTGCACTGGTACCTTGTGCCTCAGCACCACAGTCGCCATGCTGGTTTGATTTTTGCACTCAGGTGGTGATGGTGGTAACCTTCTCCCCGAATCACACAAAGATGCCACAGCAGAGGAGGAGCCCGTGAAGCTAATACTTATTGCCCTGGAGACAAGACTAAAATGCATTAATTTACCCTTTTTCCTGTTTTTCCGTAGGGTGAAACTGGTCCTCCTGGTCCTGCTGGTTCTAGTGGTAGTCCTGGAGAGAGAGGGGAACCTGGTCCTGCAGGTCATGCTGGGCCACCTGGTCCTCAGGTACATAAATACCCCATGGGAACTGGCAGGTGTTGTGCCACCTGCTTTTCACAAAGCTCTACGAGTCCTTTGATTTAAGGATGCTGGGTTAGCAGCATCAATTATTTAGAGATTTCTTTTTTCAGGGCCCTCCTGGAAGAGCTGGAAGCCCCGGCAACAAGGGTGAAATGGTGGGTACTTTTCACATCAGTCTTTTGCTGCACTGTGTTGGTAAGGGTCGTTGTTTGGACTGGTCAGAATCCAACAATGCTGTGCTCTTTTCATCCTGGTCTCTTTTTGACTCTCTACAGGGACCTGCTGGTATTCCTGGTGCTCCTGGTCTGCCAGGAGGCCGTGGTCTTCCTGGTCCTCCAGGTACCAGTGGAACCCCTGGAGCAAAAGGCAGTCCAGTGAGTTACTAGTATTACACTGGTTGTACAAACAAACATGGTAGAAGTAGTTCTGATACTATTAAAAAAACACATTGCATTTGTCCAATTCACTTGAGATGGTCTAATTAATTATTTTATAATAATAATAGGCAATTTTAAAAATAAATACATATTTCTCTTTCATACATTACTTCATATATTGCTATATATAAAAATTATGCATAAATATGATAATGTTTACTTGCTCTCCTAAATTATCTATCAAATCAGAAACACACAACAGAAAAATAGCTTCTCTAAAATGCCTACATTAAACTAAATCTGTTATTTTAAAACCTCAGTTTCACCTGTTCAAATTCCCACAGGCTGAGTATATGGTCCACTATACCTAGTGAGTTGTACCTTCTCTTACATTGTTGTTTACCCCAGTATGCTCTTTCCTGATAGCTTTATACCACATGTAGTTCTTTCTCAAAGAATCGCTCAAGGACTTCAAGTGGAAGTCACAATGATGTCTGAAGTAGCTCAAAAACAGACATAAAATTTGACTCAGTGGTGTTTAAGATTGTATAATTTCTTTACTGGATTTTAAGGAGCCCCACATCCACGTTCAACTAGTGTCTGCTAATTTGTTTTCAGAATGTAAAATAATGAGTCAATAAATTCAAAGATATCATATCTATTTCTAGAATAATACCCTGTTGCAATCCATAATTTTAATGGGATTTTTTCCTGTTTAGGGAGAACCTGGTAAGGATGGTGCAAAGGGAGAACCAGGCCCAAAAGGCGAGCGTGTAAGTGATTTTAAAATGTATTCAGAGATTTCTTCCCGGGAAGTCTGAACCTTGAATCATTCCCCATACAAAACCCAAGGTTTTCTTTTGGAGACTTCTAACCCCACTGGTGGGCTTTTTTGTTGTTGTTGTTGCCAGGGTGAAAATGGCACCCCAGGTGCTCCTGGACCTCCTGGTGAGGAAGGCAAAAGAGGTGCAAATGGCGAACCTGGCCAGAATGGCGTACCTGGTACACCTGGAGAAAGGGTAAGCTGCTGTAGATGACCATGCACAAAAGCTACATTCTGATTTGATACAGAGACAACAAAATCTGGTGTTCAAAATACTTTGAGGAGAATTTTGGTTCCATATCTGTTCTCAGCAAATTCCAGATGTGAAACTGGGTTATGAAACTGGGAAAAACTCTTATCTAGTTCCTCATCTGAATTGCAACGCTTGGATCTATCTCAGTCTGAAATAAAGTAATCACTTTCTTCTTTCAATATTGAAGAAGCAGTGATCTTAGATATCTGGAAGTTGTATCAAAAGATTTGTGCTGAAAAGCAACCATAAACTGGGAGAACTACACAGGGAAAAAAAATACACAAACTTAAAAATTACTTCTCAGTTAACAGAAATGAGCAATCACAAAATTTCCGCTCTGGAAAGCGAAATTAAAGCAAATTCTCCTGCATTCAGGGTATGTCTTTATGTCAAAATCTTTATTGTCAATAGATCTTAAATGTCAATAGTGTTAATAACGATATTGTCAGAATGTCTTCTATGTTATATCTTCATTGCCAACAGTTTTTCTGGCTAGTTGATTCAGTACCTTTCCAAAGAGGATTCTCAGAAAGGAATTCCCGAATTGATTTATTCAACAAAATAAATAGCACCACCCTTACAAATTTTAGACTTCTGTTCCCATCTCAACCAAAGGAAATTGTGCTGATCTATTTATAACTCCTAATTTAATAATTGATTGCAGTATGTGCTGAAGCTATGAGGAAACCAAAGATACACAGTGAGCAAATTCATTATATTAAATATATGAATGGGGCTGCAAATTAAATATTATAATTCAAATATATTGTAAGCAATTATGATGGTAGACAATAGAGCTCTTCTCAGTACTGAATTAGAAGAAAATAATTGTTCAAGATGGAGTGTTTTTTATATTTTTGTATTTTTTTGTATTTTTTATATGAATTTAGAAAACTCATTAATAAACTAACTAGTGCATGGCTGGGTAAAAATAATAGAGGACAGCCTATGATTTCAACAGGAGGGTTATATCCAAAGAGAAAATAATTCTGTAGACTTTCATGCTACAGTGAAATGTCATTTCCAGCTATTTCTTTCATTAATGTTCATAATAATATGTCTAATGGTAAATAGTTTAGAAAAAAAACCAGTTGCCATTACCTAAGTCATATTGCCTATGATCCATATTTTGTTTTCCTATTTGGCAGGGCTCCCCCGGTTTCCGTGGCTTACCCGGTAGCAATGGACTTCCAGGTGAAAAGGTATACAAGCCTTCCTCTAAAAAAACCCCAAATTCCTGTAGAATACATGTGAATTTGAATGGACAATTTGAGATTCACTATGATGCCAATTTCCTTGCTGTAAATGTCAACATCTCTTTTTTTTAGGGTCCTGCAGGTGAACGTGGTAGCCCAGGTCCTCCTGGCCCCAGCGGGCCCGCAGGAGAGCGTGGACAAGATGGAGGCCCAGGTCTTCCTGGAATGAGAGTAAGACGGGATGTCTCCAGAAAATTAGATTTAACTCCATTAGAGATGCCTCATCTGAGCTGATACAATAGAAGATCAAATTAGAAAAAATTTCTATTAATTCCTTTGAGTACATATATGGATAGTGCAATAGATAACCATGCAGAGATACGGGGCATTCAGATAACATCTGTCACAAATGAATGAGGAAGCTTAGATGAACCTGAACATGTTCCCCAGTTCTTGGAGTATGCCATGCACTGTCATGAGCTATGGCTTTAATGTCAGTTATAATATAAGATGTTAATTATATTAAATATAAATATA